AGACGAGCAAATCGTCATCAAAAGATTCAAAAGTACAGGAAAATTGAGAACCGGGATTTTGTGGGGTTGCCGGTTCAACCCGGTTCTCTAGTTTGTACAGTGGTTATTACTTACTAACGACGAGCCGGACTGGACTATCCTCTAGTCACTTTGACAAGTAACGGGTGGCTACTTGTGACATCGAGTCTTTTGAGATGTCATTGTCACTCAAAGATTGAAAAAAGCAAAGACAAGGGATTGAGAAGATTACACCTTTGTTTCTATGCAAAACTTCAAACGTTGTTGTTGCTTTGACACAAGCTTCAAGGTATTTGTTAGGATATCAATCCAAGTCCCACATCGCAAGTTTAGACAAAAATTGTCTAATATATAAGAGATGTTCAACTCTAATTAGTATGAGACTTTTTGGGAAGGAGTCCAAGAACAAATCCGTGCGGGTCCAAAGCGGACAACATCATACTAATGGGAAGAGTTGGACATGGACTTGAAAAGCCCCATAGTACTCTCTCTCTCTCTACATAAGCCTCATTCTATATACAATATTAGCTTTAGTTTTTATGTTCAAATCTTCTTCTCTTTGTTCCTCATTTCTTCAATCTTTCTCTCTCTCTCATTCGCCATGATGCATGTAAAGAGATTGGAGAGGTTTCTGAAGTGGAGAATGACAAAGCAGACAGTGTTTGTTCTATTACCAGTGACGACACAAACACTTGTTTTGAATCCGAGACAATCACGAGAAGCAAGAACAAAGGTTTGATACATTTTTTGCTATTTTTTCGTCATGTGATTGCTTTATATAATCAATGATTGCTTTATATAAACAAGCTATTTTGTCTCTTGAGTAGGGAAGTTGAAAGAGGAAGTTGTGGAGGTTTCTGATGACGAAGAAGACAGTAATGAAGACATTTGTTCTGAAGTCAAGATTGCCAATAAAATCCAAAGAAGCATGACCAAAGTTTAAATACATTGTTAGCTCTTTTCATCCCTTGAGTTGTTGTTTTCTGTGATTAGCTTTAAGCTGTTTTGTTTGTGTGAGTTTTTTCCAGGGAAAAAGAAAAAGGAAGTTGTGAAGTCTTCTGATGAAGACAGTGACAGTGATTCTATTGAAGCCTTTGATGGTTTAAATTTAGAAGAGAACTGTTACAGTGACAGTTCTTATTCTACGGATAGCGAAGAAGACGCAGCCACTTATGCAAAACCAAAGGTGACAAATCCAAAGAATGAAAGGTAAAATTACACTAGCTTTCATCCTTTTTGATCATTTGTGTGGTGCTTATGTTTATGTAAAATTGTTTTTTGTCTCTTGAGTTTTTTTCAGGAAAGTCCAAATCAATTGATGATAAGGATGCAATTAGTGTTAGTTCTTGTTCTGTAGAGGTGCCAAAAAGGAGCAAATGTAAACAAATCAATGGCTTAATTTCATCACTTAACTAAGTCATTAATTTGTGTGATGCTTATATAGAGAGA